TAGTGGATTGCCATAACCTTAGCTTTGCTTTTTATTTAATAATTATGTTATTTCTTAGTTACCCAAAGGTCTAGGCCCACAAATAAGACTGGTCTTGTGGTCATTTATAAAATTATCAACTACTGTGCTAGAAGCATGTCACTAAACAAAATACACTTTAATCCTACGAGAATATCATTGTTAATCATTCTTTTCTTACAGTAATCAAAACCCAAATAACAAAACTATTCACCTTTAGAAGTAACTTGGAACTAAAATGACCTTCACTTTCAAGTGGCTATGTAGCCAGAAGAATCAGAGGACATAACAAAGTGCTCTATGAGAAACCAATTCTCAAATTGATTAAATGGGTATAGAGGTTTGCCCAAACTCCCTGAACTTAAAAACCAATTAGTAACAAGTGGAGAGACCTAGCAGGCTCATATAATAGTTTGGGATGTGTTATTATTCGGTTCTGAAATACCATGAGTATGATTATTCATCCTTGCCAAAAGAAAAATGGTGGGAAAATCTTGAACTCTACCAATTCAAGGGCTATGATTTAGGCTTCCATACCTTCAAGGAACTCATCAAGTCTTGAACAAGTTCAAACCCCTTCCCACGGATATAATTTTATTATGTTGTATCACATTATGGAGATGGCAGTCATGTTATAATTGAACTGTGTTGTATCACATTTGATTTGCTTCGTCTAATTATGGAACATTAAATCTTCATACTAGATTGTAACAAACTGTGCATAATATAAAGGACCATACCAATTCAAGTTGTGCATAATGTAAATCATAAAAAACTATGCATAATGTAAATCATAATATCTTCACACTTCAAGCTGTGGCTGAAGCAAGGATGCAATGAAAATAAAGCCAACGAACCAGACAGATAAATTGAAAATTGGATCAACTCAGGGGCAGCCCATGTCAAAAAAATTCAATGCAATATGTAAATTACTCTTCTAGGCATTCCAACAAACACTTGGCATGCAATAGACATTACATGCAATTTTTGTGTATGTGTGAGTTCAAAATGTACAGACGCGTATACAATCATGAAGGGTTGGGCAATGTGGATTAAGCACTGATATGGTTTTCATTTGCTGAGTTACAAGGTGAAGAGTACATGGTTAAATAGAGTGAATCCCTTCTATTTCTCACGTGAAGACGCAGCTCTTTGGTTCACACCAAGCTCATGGGTTTACAATTGTAGGCTGAAGAAATGGACAAAATGAATGACGAAGCTCATAATTTAGGCTCAGACGAATCTCAAATATGGAAATATGGCACAAACGAATCTCGTTAGGGCTACGGATTGGATTGCTCAATTAGGGCTATGAATTTTAAGGGCTCAGCTTTGGTGTTCACAGAGGATGGAAAGCAAAGAAGCGAACAAAGGGGGAAGGAGCACTGAAGAGAGAAGAGAGAGGGCAAGGCAACGTATAGATGGAGGGAAAAATGAATGAAAACAGAGAGGGTCCTCTTGGCGTAATATATTTGACAAAAAAAGGGATTCATTACATCCGCTTCATTAGAAAGATTGGTGAAAAAGCTTTTACCATAAAAGCTTATTTGGAGAACTGCTCGTATACTTGAAAGCGTATTTGTTGTATCCGCTTTATAAGTGTAAGTGTATTTGTAAAGGGAGGGAAAAATGAATGAAAACAGAGAAAGATCCCGTGGGCGTAACATATTTGACAAAAAAGTTATTCAGTACATCTGCTTCATTAGAAAGAGCAATTTTGGTGAAAACGCTTTTACTATAAAAACGCATTTGGATAACTATTTATATACTTGAAAGCGTATTTGTTAAATCCGTTTTATAAGTGTAAGTGTGTTTGTAGAGGGAGGGAAAAATGAATGAAAACAAAGAAGGGTCCTATGGGCCCTATGGGCGTAATATATTTGACATAAAAGTGATTCATTACATCCGCTTCATTAGAAAGTGCAGACTTGGTGAAAACGCTTTTACTATAAAAGCACTAAAAGTGTATTTGTTAAATCCGCTTTATAAGTATAAGCGTATTTGTTGGATTTGCTTTTAAAAAGTATTGTAGATATGTAATAAGTTCAAAATTATTGTAAATTGGTATTTAAGTTCAAAAAGACTGTACTCTCGTAATAAATTAGGATTTTCACATTTTGCACCCCAAAAGATGTCTAGACTCCTACTTTATACCCCAAAATATTATTTTGTTACTTTGCACCTGAATGTCATAAATTGGTTCTAATGAACCCTCAGACTAATATTCGTTTCAGATTCCGTTAAAATTTGATGCACATGCTACACATGAGTTTATATTTTTGTCCAAAAATAACACACGTGAGTGGCATGCGCATCGAATTTTAACGGAATCTGAAATGAATATTAATTTGAGGGGCACATTAGAATCAATTTATTACCTTCGGAGTGTAATGTGAAAAAAAATAATCTTTCAGAGTGTAAAATGAGAATCGAGATATCTTTTAGGGTGCAAAGTGCAAAAAACCCAAATAAATTCCGAATCTCATTTTGTATCTAGAAAGATTTAAGATTTTTCATTGTTCACCCACAAGATTAAATTTTTTACATTGTATTCTGAATATATTAAAAATATTATAATATGACATTTTTGTTACTTATTCCGTCAAAGTTACCCTATTAATGTTGACGGATGGATTGTTCAACAACAACTAACAAAAAGGCTACATTGTAACACTTTTAATATGTTGAAAGTACAATATAAGAAATTTAATCTTTAAAATTATAAAGTGGAAATTCTTAAATCTTTCTAGATAGAAAATATAATGTATCCTATGTTTTTACTGAATCTTCTTTAACAAACACCTTTCTGGTAACAGGTGGACCCTTCCTCAAAAAGTTTTTGGTGAACATAGTGCTGCCAGAAAATATATCATCAGCTCTGATGTAAATGGGGAGCAAAAAAGTTGAACGGGATCAAGTAAAGCATCTTCGCATATAAAAGGTCTATGTATTTGTTCTACCGACGTCTATGTGGAATGAACATAATGAATAATATCTAGGGTTAACAATCATGTCAGTGAAATAGTTTCACATTGAGTGAAATAATTTTGCGTCAAAAAATCTTTTACCTATACCTCATTTATATAAATAGGTTCAATTATCACACCCGCACATGACTCGATTATTCGATAGGTTACTCGCGCCATACATTATACCTATTTAACCGGTTTATTATAGCAACAATAAACCATGGTTGAGAAAAAAATAAAAGCAAAAATAAATATTAAATTATTACTCAATTCGAAACCCACATCTAAATTGTTCAAACATATTACATTTGCTACCAGCCTATCACTACCAGTAACTTACTAGTTAGGACAAAGTACCAACATCTAAAGAGTAAATTGCTACAAGTAATTCAAATTCTAGTTCCCAAATTCACAAAGCAAAAACTTATTCACAAATCACCATCTTCAAACAACTAACAAATTCCACCATCAAACATATCACAAACCATGACTCCAAAAACCATAAATAGCAACCCTAATTCCAAAAACAAAAAGCAAAGTCCACCAACGAAACAACCACAGATCCATTTCCTTTCATTTTTGCAAGTTTCCTGCAGGTCACCATAGTGCCACTGTAAATGGGTTAGAACGGATTCGCAGATTAAACACAAAATCGATTCATTTATTTCACGATTCTGTTATATTCACCTGTCAGCCACCTAAACCTGTTAAAACTACATCCAAGCCCGCTAAATCCGTATCGGATTCTTGTCGGTTTTACGAATCGTGTCTAAAATTGTCAAGCTTAATAATATCTTTGTACCGTTACCCTTACTCCTACTCTCACCATTACCCCTACTGCCACTCTATCTTAACATCATAAGAAAATATAAAATAGTTAATAAAGAAGATAAAAAATTCAAATGTGGAGTAGTTATCAAAGAGTCAAAAATGGTTACACAAGCCAACAAATTTTAACTAAATAAATAAACATTAAAACAAAATAGGATTTAAAGAGGGAATTTTTTTTTTTAGAATTCTCTCTTAAATTCATTTTTTTAACATACGGTACAGATAGGCATACACATGATTATAATGGGTTTGACAAAGTCATTTTGATCTCCAATAATTGTCATCCCCAGCTTGTTACCGCTCTCATTGCTGTCATCACAACTGATATGGCGATGAACCACAAATGGGTAAATCCTACCGACAATGAGAAGACTTAAGGGCCTATACGCAAGATATTATTTTCTATACTGTTACGATACACGTTGGGGTTTTCACCACCCTTCCTTCCATTAATCACTTCCTGCCTCGCAAGTGGATAAGGCCACTTGACCACATTCTTACCAAGAAATAGAAAATCTCAGTTTAAGAGGTACTCTGTAGGTAAATAATATGTACTTGTTCACCTTACATACAAAACACATGCACTCAAGAATCATAGGAGAACAAAGGATTAAAGCTAGAGGTAATTATAATTGAGAATTGAAAAGCTTTAGCCCATGAATTCACAATGTAAAAGGAGAAAGGATTATTTACAAAAGCAGCAAGCAAACCAAAAGTATAAACATGCTTGACATATCCACAGGAGCAGTATTCACACTAAAGAATCAGGCATTATCTGTCAAATTTCCCATTCCCCACCTAACAGTCGACATAAGCCTAACTCTGGTAACCTGAAGAACATAACACAACTTCGCCTTCTTGTTCATTACTAAATCTTTTTCTTCAATCAAAGATGTTTAACCTGTGTCCTCACCTGAAAGGCATGATCATCAATGTTGGTGAATGTCAATATTCTGCACTACTACTCAAAAGATGTGTAGCAAAAGCAGACCATTTCTCAGATCTCACAATTCTTCTTTATTTCTTAACAGTTTCTTATCTTTAAAATACTAATAACATAAGACTGTTCTTCAAATGGATCGCCACCAAATGAAAGAGTAATCAAACAAGGATCAACCACATGGCGAGCTTTAAAAATTCTGACGAGAAGAAAGCCACTGCTCCATATACATCTTGCCCTCTGCACATTCGAAGAAAATGTATGAAATCAGTACAGTTGGCAAGTCTCAGGCCAGAAAGGTATATAAAACAGGCATTTGACTTAAACAGCATGACTGGTTATCCTGAAAAATTACCGTACCAAATTACATCAAAAGCGAAGTATAACATTAATAAAGTTACACTGTTCGGAAATTTCCAGGAACAACTGCAATGTAACTACCAACTTTCCTGATACAAAGAGACACACGAGATCCAAATTTTTATCATTGAACTGTCCAAACAATCAACATTAATGATCTAATGAGCACCCCATAGACTAAAGAAGAGAAACTTCAAATCCTAGCTGGAGCAAAGTGCTCACAATTTTACCGAAAACAATATTAACGGTGTCCCAAGTCCAAACACCCACCCCCATCCCCAATATCTGCAAGTGTGTCTGTATTAGTGAGTGTATTTTAAAGTTTCCAGAGAATATTCGCTCAACGAAACACTGACCACAGTAACCAGTCCCAAATTGGTTTTCCTTACAACATAATCCAAAAAACTGACTTCAGAATCCCTTGCAAGTCGAAGCTAATAAACAAGTAATCAGATACACGAAATGAGAATAGCAATCAATGGCACGAGTCGACTGCAAAGTTGATCGAGCTCTTCGCCAAATTTGGTATTCCCTTATTTCATGCTCAAATAGCAGGAGGAGACCCCATTAGGGAAAATAGGAATGCCAAAAATCAGAAGCATTTGTAGTTCAGTATAACCATGCTGCAGAGACACATCCTAAGACAAAGAAAATGCTTTAACAAAAGAGTAGAATGTTTTCACCAGTCTTGACAGAACGAAGATAACGTATCCCTCAATTATACTAAATTACATCAGTCTCTCTCAGTTAATTTCCCCAGTCTGTAAGCATTGAAGTAGAATGAATCCTAGATCACAAAGGGTCCTAAATGAGCAGTAGGGAACTTAAGATGCAACTTGACAGGCACGCTGATGTCAAAAGGGGTAAAAGTTATAGCTAAGGCCTATTATTTCACACTCGGTCGCAAACAAAAGAATTAGACCATATCCTCACATAAAGACAGAAACTACATAGATATTCCTAAACCAAGAAATGACTGTCATCATCTAAAAATAATAAGTAAATTCGAAACAATACTCAACTCGACAGAGCTTTATCCCAACTATTTCAGGTCAGCTAAATCAATCATATTCTTCCATCGTTCTCAACAAAATTTGCAAATAATATAAACATAAAAATAATTGCTGAAATAACAGCCCTTACCATCAGAGTACACAGCAGGGAGGTTCCTGATCGCACTCATGAACTGATTATTAGGCTCCTCCACCTCTTTGCAATCATGTTTATAGCAAGGAACTAACACTGCAAAACTGTTGTCTGCCTCATCATCACTCTGGAAATCAGGGGCGTGTGGTTCCAGCCACCCAACTGACCAGTCCGAGTCATCGGTATCAGAACCCGACAATAAAACACCATCTGATGGCACCAAAACAACATCATGTTCCTTATCAACTATCCTTTGTTCCCTACTCTGCCATTTCCTCCTAACCTTCCTAGGCGAAGAGGCCACTTTTGCCTCTTTAAAAGAAGAAAATTTCACAGCATTCGGTTCCCTAAATCCTAAACCCCAATCCGTAGAAGAATTTACTGAAGACTCATTAGAGACAGGCTCTTTTTCTTTCCCAGCCCACCACCACCATGAAAAACGAGTGTAAGAAAAAGCCATTTTCGACTCACAAAGTTGATGAACGACAAGAAATTGACGAATTGGAGCAAACAGCTTTGAAGGCTTAAAATGGGTAGAAATGAAAGTGGCTTCAAGGAACTACTACATTAGGATATGACCAATCAATTGAAGCAATAAATAAATGCTAGCGAAGATATCAATTCAATCCAAACAAACCCTTCAACATCAAGCTATAATTAAGAACAGCCAAACCTTTATAAAAGCAAAAGCAAGATCAAATAACTTACATCAGTCTTTTTAACTTCCACCAAAAAAACCCAGTATTCCTCCATTAACTGAGTCCTTTAAACCCACAAAAATTCACTCACTTCACAAACATGTCATCATTTCAATAAATCATTGACATATATAGAACCCCCCACAATAAATAAGGAATCAAGCTATACTTAATTCAACTCCAACACCATCATTAAACACAAAAATTCCTTGAAAGCTCCAAAAAAATTCACATAATTAAGAGCATCGAATAGTAGACTTCACCAATTCACTTGACACTCCAAATCCCTCAGTAACCCTCAATAATCTAACAAAACCCAACAATTCACAAGCCAATAATTAAAATCTTCGCGCGATTTAATGAAAGAATTGGAAAAATACAAGGATCGGATTCCCTAGCGAAAGTCGGGTTTACCCGATGAATCCCAGAATAAAATTGACCATTTTCTTCGGAAATTCAAAATTTCCGCGAATCAAACGGTGATACCACCGAAAAAACCGAAACTCTCTCCGGGAAGTGAAGTGTCACAAATCACACGGCGAAATCACCGGAAAAAACCTCACTTTTGGACGGAACTGAGTTTTCAAAGAAATCGATGGCGATACTACCGGAAAACCAAAACTTTTCACCCGAAAGAGAAAACCGACAGGTAAGATTACAGAGACCTAAGTTCGAAAACGTCCTACGGACTCTCTCTCCAACATCCCCATTGTTGTCCCGAGAAGTTGTGCCCACCTCCTCCTCCTGCTTCTTCTTCTTCTTCTTCTTCCTCTCTTTCTCTCTCTCCCTCCCTCTCTCTCTCTCTCTCTCTCTCTCTCTCTCTCTCTCTCTCTCTCTCGGACTCTTCAGAAATCAACTGATAATTTCGTGGCCCTGCTTATATACACAAAAAAAAAAAAATATATCTGGATTTTTATTTTAGATAATTACAATTAAACTACCTATTTTGGTGAATTGCAGAAGTATAAACTTATTTGAAGAATTTCAATTAAGCCCCAGCGTCTCGCCTCGGCCCCACACAACGGATGTTAGCAGCCGTGGTGGCAAATCTCATTTTGTATTCTCAAATATTTATTTTTTATTAATAAAAATTTATTTTATCAAAAATTATCTCATTGTTGTTGACAGAATGTGTAATAGAAACTAATAGAAAAATTATATTATATTATTTTTGATAATACCTCAAACAAGTCCTGCCTATGAGCTCAAGTCAGGAGGTCAGGAACGACACGGGGAACTCAGAGAACCAAGGGTAGAGTTCCCCTTGGAGAGATCGTGACAGAACCAACCAGGAAACAACTGGATGAATACGAAAATTGAGCCCAATGCATGAAACTCTCAACCAACCAAGATTTTCTCCTAAAATCAAGGAGGTACCCATGAATAATTGGTAAAGATCTCGGCTGAAATTCCACATAATAGGGAGCAACCTTATAAATATTAGGTAACACCTCATCGAGAGGGGAGGCCCTAGAAAAATCCTAATTAGATGATGTATTGTACTGTAATACATTCGAGAAATCAAGAGAGAAAATAAATAAGCAAGAGCCTCCATTAGAGAGTGGATTAGCCGAGCTCCATAGCCGGTGAACCACTATATTCTTACTGTGCAAATTCACCTACTCTCTAAGAAACACTTCATCTCTGTCATTATGAAGTTGGCAACCTAGATTTACCTTTGGTCCCGTGCACTCTGTTCGCCCACGTTAGTTTGCACCATCAGTTTGACGCCGTCTGTGAGAACAACTGTTCCTATTGCAAATAAGCTGATCTCTCAGTGACTGATGGTATCAACACGAAACATGAGCAGAAGCCAAACAAACCCACCTCAGATGCAGGACCAACAGGGAGCCACCAATGGCAGACAGCCCGAGAACGTCCCAGAAATTGATCCTCCCATGGGAAATGCCCTCACGAATAACGAGATGGAGACCCTTCGCCTCGTCAATCAGCGCTTGATAAAGCAAAACGAAGAGCTCTTGAAGCTCTTACAACACCCACCGAAGGCACGTCTAGTCCAAGAAGGTCAGAATAGTTCCCGTCACAGGGATCAACAACACCTTGATCCACTCAAAGAAGACAACGAAGGAGAGGAGAACAACCAAACCTTGGGACAGGTTCCCCAACTACCCCTTAGGAATGGCCACAATGAGGAAGTACAAAGTCAAAATCATGAAGGTGAAAAGAATGAAGTCTTCCCTTATCAACAGGAGAGAAGGAAATAATATTGGGAGCAACGCTTCAAGGGTATCCAACAGGAGCTTAGCCACATGAAGGAAGCGGTCAGAAGTAAAGCTCTAGTTACAATGGACGTCTTGGTGCAACAAACTAAATCTCCATTCACGCCTGGGGTGTTGCATTTTCCCCTCTCACCAAAGTTCAGAATGCCACAGATAGAGTCTTTTGATGGAACTAAGGACCCCATGGACCACCTCAATACTTATAAGAACTAGATGGAGTTGCACGGGTACCAGGACCCTGTACGATGTCGAGCCTTTGCCATCACTTTGAAGGGTTCAGCCTTGGCATGGTTTAACAGGCTTCCCCTGGCCTCAATTTCTTCCTTTAAAGAACTTTTCATTTCCTTCGTATCCCACTTCATAGGGACTCGAACCGACAGAAAGCCAAGCTATCACCTTTTGAATGTGAAACAGGGACCTTAAGAAAACCTCAGGTCTTATGTCCAAAGATTTAATTTGGAGTCGTTAAAGGTGGATGTCCCAAATGAAAAGTTCGTCATCACTGCCTTCATAGCTGGTCTAGGGGTGCAATCTAAAGATTTGATGTTCCCCATATCAAAAAATCTCCAAGCAAGCATGACCGAGGTGCTTGCCACAATAGAGAAATATATAAACGGCGAAGAAGCTCTTCTTTCTAAGGTAGATAACTCTTCCGCACATAGAGATAAAGGAAATGAAGAGAAAAAGAGGAACCGAAGTCCCAGGAGAGAGAAGGAAAAAAACAGATCTCTAAGGAGAGATAGATCTCTCAGAAGAGATAAAGAGCGATCTCTAAAGAGAATGGGGAATGTTAAGGATCGTTTAGGACCTCCATAGCCTGAACTACAACCGAGGTATGCACCTCAGCAATATACTCCTCTCACTGCAATAGTATCTCAGATCCTATACGAGGTGCAGAACGAAAAATTTCTAAGGTGGCCTCTACTAATGAAGGCAAATCCAGCTAAAAGAGACCCTACAAAGTATTGTGAGTATCATAGGGATCATGGCCATCACACCGACGATTGCATTCAGCTAAAGAAAGAGATCGAGTTCTTGATCTAGAGGGGGCAATTATGACGATTTGTCGCCCATAACAACCAGAACAAGGCTCCACCACCACCGGCACCTCAGCAACAAGCCCCTGCACAGCACCAACAACCCTTAGGGGAGATCAGAGTGATATATAAAGCATTTGCTGGCGGTGGAGAATCCAGTGCATCTAGGAAAGCACACTTGCGCAGGATCAGAGCTGGCAAAGCGCTGGACGTGCACACCGTGTCCAAAATACCTCGGCTGAGCATAACCATCACTTTTTCGAATTCAAACTTGGAAGGCTGCCAGCATCCCCATGATGACCTGTTGGTGGTAAGGGCCATTGTGGCTAACCAACAGTTCATCGAGTTCTAATTGACAATGGGAGCTCGGTCGACATCATTTTCGCCTCTGCCTTTGACAAAATGGGTATAGGAAGGGAGAAGCTTGAGCCAGTAGGTGCTCACTTAATGGGATTCTCAGGGGAAAGGGTGCTATCCCTAGGATCCATCCAACTCGTGCTCACTATGGGGGACCCTCCTTGTCAAGCCACCACCACTGTGAAATTCCTGATAGTTGATGCCCCTTCTGTGTACAATATGCTACTTGGGAGACCATCCCTCCACGCAATAAAGGCTATCCCCTCAGCATATCACTTGGTCGTAAAATTTTCTACAGAAAATGGAGTAGGAATGGTCCGAGGAGACCAGAGAATAGCTAGGGAGTGCTACATGGCCTCGGTGAAGCAGAAAGAGGTTGAAAATATCCAAATCGATGAGCTTGACATAAAAGATGAGCTGGATACTCAGCCCATGCCATCAGAAGAGCTAGAGCCAGTCCTGCTTGATGAAGAGCCTAAACATATTGTTTACATGGGATCTAAGTTGAGCAGAGAAATGAAAGACCTACTCACCCAGTTCCTGAGGAAGAACATGGGGGTGTTCGCTTGGAAGCAAGAGGACATGAAAGACATTGACCCCTCAGTCATCACACACAAGCTAAGCATAAATCCCATTTTCAAACCTGTTAAACAGAAGCGGAAAAGTTTTGCTCTAGAACGCTAGAGGGCAATTAACGAGGAGGTCAGTAAACTCCTCCACACCAAAGCCATCAGAGAGGTGGACTACCCTACCTGGTTAGCGAATGTGGTGCTGGTCAATAAGACCAATGGGAAATGGCGACTCTGCATTGATTTCACCGATCTCAGTCATGCATGCCCCAAGGACAGCTTTCCCTTACCTCGAATCGACTTGATCATGGATGCAACTGCTGGGCATGAGCTCCTTAGCTTCAAGGATGCTTTCTCGGGTTATAATCAGATCAGCATAGACCCAACGGACCAGGAGAAGACAACATTTATGATTGAACAGGGAACTTACTGCTACCAGGTCATGCCTTTTGGATTGAAGAATGCTGGAGCCACCTATCAGCGCCTAGTGAATAGAATGTTCCAGAAGCAAATTGGGACGTCCATGGAGGTCTATATCGACGACATGCTGATAAAATCACTAAGGGCAGAGCTACACATCGAGCACCTAGCAGAATTGTTCCAAATCCTCAAGAAGTATAAGATGAAACTCAACCCTGCAAAGTGCGCCTTTGGGGTATCAGCAGGGAAGTTTCTGGGATTCATAGTCAACAGTAGAGGAATTGAGGCTAACCCAGAAAAGGTTAAGGCAGTTTTGGATATGCGACCATTGTCCAACATTAGGGAGATCCAATGCCTGACAGGAAGAATAGTCGCCTTGAGTCGTTTTGTATCTAAATCAAGTGACAAGTGTCAACCTTTCTTTAAGGTTTTGAAGAAGGCAATTCAGTGGGACACTCGGTCTGAGGAAGCGTTCAAAGCACTAAAGGAGTACCTAAGCTCTCCCCCTGTCCTGGTAAGCCCCTTAGAAGGGGAGGTGCTTACTCTTTATTTAGTTGTCTCGAATTTCTCAACCAGCGCAGCACTAGTTAGGGAGCGAGACAGAGCTCAGCAACCAGTTTACTACTGTAGCAAAGCTCTGAGGGGGGCAGAGGGGAGATATCCAAAGATGAAAAAGCTAGTTTTGACCCTGGTGACTACGGCTAGGAGACTTAGACCATATTTTCAGGCTCATACTATAGAGGTTCCAACAGATCAGCCAATGAAGCAAGTACTGCATAAATCAAAGTCTTCGGAAAGGCTAGTTAAGTGGGCAATAGAGCTCAACGAATTTGATATTAGTTATAAGCCAAGGACTGCAATTAAAGGGCAAGTCTTGGCAAATTTCATCACAGAATTCACCGCAATAACACTCGCGAAAGCCACACTGCTAATACCTGACTTTCCCTTATGAAAACTTTCGGTAGACGGAGCTGCCAATGTCCAAGGAAGCGGCGCAGGATTGATCTTGAGCTCTCAAGATGGAGTAGACATGGAATATGCCCTCAGGTTTGGGTTTAAGACTTCAAACAACGAGGCCAAATATGAAGCTGTCATTATTTGGCTCAACCTTGCTCATTCAATGGAGGCAGAGCAGTTGGAGATCAGCAGCGATTCCCAGCTTGTCATGAAACAGATAGAGGATTCATACAAG